ATGATTATTTGTCTCCCCTCGAGTCTCGGACCCATATTTTCATTCAAGATGCAGAACGTTGAAAATTGGGGAAACTTATACACATTGTTGAGGGGTGGGGGGAGGGTTGAATACATGACCCTGTGGAACAAATCTGTTCATTCAATGCAGTGGTTTACTGATTCAATTCAAGATGGCTGACTGGCGTTAAAAATGACTTGTTAGTTTTGTTTTTTCATTGGGACACATGCACAAAATAATGTACCAGACATGTAATCAAAACATGAAATACTACTGTAAATAATTTTGAGCTTATTAACATTAAAAAACCTGAAATTAGCAGGTCGGGGTACTGGAAACTAAGAATTTATTTGTTGGCCTCATCACATCACAATCTGTTGTTGACTCTTTCAAATAACAGAAATACGACTTTTCAAACGACTTGTAAACTCAATCTACATGTAATTAAATATTCAAAATGAGCAAAAAAGTGGAAAAGGTATGCTGACCAAGTCCTAAAATTTAACACATCTGAATATAGTATAGTACTTTTTAGTCAAAACATCATTATAATCACAAGAACCGGCGCGGCAATTAAATCAAATAATTTGACCTTTGCACATATTTAATGCAAAATGCCCTCAATGGCAAGAAATACAACATTTTTGTTTATATTGATGCAATTACAAACAGGGATGTGAAGACTAAACTTTGCTGACATTTCATCAATAGTATTACCTAAATTGGGGCGTTCTATGTCAACTACATTCATTTCCACATCTTACAAGTGTAATACAGTTTAATAAATAGACACTGTTCACATGTAGCAAATTTCAGAAGGACACAGTTATATGTTCATTCACTCACCAAACTTTATATTGAAAAAATCCATAAAATTTGTTATATAAAACAAGGCTTGTGGCTAAAAATGCATTTATTCCAAGACATGTCCAGATATTAAAGGGCCACAGTCGTAGCGTTGCGTCTTGTTCGATATGGGACTCGTAGCAACGTATACATTGTTTATTTACATGAAATTCAAACACGTGCTGCGTGACGACCACCGCGCTTTAACATAACAAGATGTCACAGTATTCAATATTTGATACATAATCAATATGTAGTCATCGTTAAATGCAATTTAATTTGAATTAAAGCATCATGACTTGTTAATTTTGATTACAGATGGAGTATTTTGTTTTAAAATAATGTCGTTCCTGGAGCCCTATTTCTGACATGCTTTGGTTCATTGGCTGATCATGTTCAAACTTGATATATTCCTCAAACTTGAGAACTCATGAAGAGTTCATGAAGACTATGTAATGCAATTACTGGTTGTCTCAAAACGAGACACAAATGTCATCAACATCTTGTTATAAGTGCTGTAGTTTTAGATTGGATGCATAATTGCTCATACTAAAGTTGTAAATTTCCATTTTTGTTTGATTTTGCAGCTTCTAAAAGAGGTGACGGAAGTTGTTGCTGAACTGTGTCTTAGCACAGTTAGGGAACTCAATGTTCGAGACAGTCAAATGAACCGATGGCAGAAGAGGAGAAGCAACCAAGACGTTATCAAGATTCTCAACACGTTGTTTCAACAGATAGATTTGGATCTATTTAAGGATAGCGCTATGACGTACTACATGCTTCATCCAGAAATGGAATCATTTAATTGGTTGAAACAGATTTATAGTACTTCTGCGGAAGAGCTGGGTCTTTCTGATGAGCAAGCTATCTGGCCTGTGCTGCCATCCACAATGCGAGCTAAGTTAGTGCACTGCTTTAGGAATTTGAGACCCATCACTGTCAGTCCGTACAACATGTGGGATAAAGATATAGAAAAACAGCTACTGTCACTGTTGGATATTCAGGGAACTCAGATCAGTCAAGGAAATAAATCTAAACCGAAAACCGTGAAAGGTAAAAACAGTTCAAGGGGTAGAAAGTCCAAGGGTGAACCTAGCGGATGTCAGAGGACCATGCTGCTTCAAGGAAGCTACGAGAAGAATAAGTCACGTAAATCTGGTTTGCCCAATGGCTCTACAAGTAGTGGCAGATCTTCTGTTGATGCAGATGTTGTAGTCCATGATGCGAAGTCTTCTGATGATGAAACAATCTGTGACTATGACTATGCACCAAGCGACATTGTAGTTGTTGATGGCGATGACGATCTTAGCAGCCAAAATCACAGTTCTGTTACTACTGAGACTTCTGTTGCTGCTGAGAATTCATCTATATCAGAGCCAAAGACATTTTTAAAATCAATAAGCAATGCTAACTTGACAGATTCAGGAGTTGATATGTTTACTCAAACGTCTAGCACTGAACAAGCTTCTCAAACAAAATCAGACAATCAACAATGGCAAGAAGTTTTAACAGATACTGATGACAAAACCTTGCATTGTGAAGAGAAATTTTTAGAAATAGATGATCTTGATAATCACTGTGAAACTCAAAAGTTGGAATTACCTGTTCTTGCTGCTGATGATGTTACTGTCAATTTGCCAGGTGAATTGTCTGTCGAGAGAGATCAAATTCTTGCAGAGGTTACAAATGAAATTCTACATAGTGCATTGACCTGTTCTCGCAAAGATGCATCCAACATAGATATGTTTCTCTCTGATAAAACATGTGAAGATGGGGAGATGGTTATAGTTGATAAGAAAGTCAAAGCATCTGAAACAAACTATGAACTTGCAGATGCATCTCAATGTGAGGAAATATCTTCAGGGAAAGTATGTTCAATCTCCAACTCTTCCGTTAAATCCATGAATGACACAGAAGCGCATTTAAATATTCATGACGATACACATCAAGACATTACATGTCATGAACCAGAATTAAAAATTGGAAAAAATCTTTGTATAGTTGATGAAGTGAAAGAAAACTCTGGCAGTATGATGGAAGTTGGGGAGATAAATGTTGTTGATTCTGCTCATAATGTTATTGATGTGGAACACTTGCAGCCTGGGGAATATAATGATGCGTTGTCAGGGTTACAAGTTCTGAGAACTGAGAGCAATGTTGATGATGTAAATTTCATTGTTAGTGATGTCTGTGAAAAGGGGCATCAAGTGTCATTACACTCATCAAACATTGACAGGCAGCCTCTAGAAGCAGAACAGTCATCGAACAATGATAAGAGACATTCCAAATATTCTGTTGTTGCACGTACTTTTATTGCTGAGAGCTCCTCGGACAATGCTGGTAATTTTCATGCACCACGACGTCACAAGGATGGTAATAACAATGTTAACAGAGGTACTCGTGTGACAGAATCTAGTCCCGAAGAACCTAATGTGACAATTGCTGACAATGACAAAAAAGAAAAAAGTTGTTCTAAACCACAAGAAACTTGCATTGCAGAACAAGTGGATAATGATTCAGGAGAGTCGATGTGTGTGAAGGAGGAAAATGATGAGGATGTCGGTTCAACATGCATATGGTTAGCACGTTTGTGTCAGTCAAACAGTGATGATAGCGACGTTGATGAAGTCATTTCAGATGACATGATTGAAACAGACAATCAAACAAACTCTAGAGGTAACATCTTTGAGATCTTATCCGATGCCTCTTGTCCTGATACGAGTGGTGGTGACAGTGATTTGACATCACCAATCAACGAAGACAAACTGCAGAACAGTGAGGCAGAGGATCATCATCTATTGTGTGAAATTGATCTTTCATTGGTACATTTGAACTCGTGTCAGAGTGAGGATGCTACCAACCAGAATGATTTGATATCAGCTCATAGTAGCAGTAGTCCTGAAAAGCAGGATGAGGTATTTAAAAATTCACAGGAAGAAAAAGAACACAAAAGCGTTACTGATTCATGTAGACCTAGTGATGAGGTAGATATAAAAGTGAGTGATTGTCCTAACAGAGAAGAAATTCCTTATTCATGTCTTTCTGAGCAAACATGCTCTCCGGCAAGGCTAACAGGATGTTCAGAAGGCGAGAGCTGTTTTCTCTCTTTTGTAGAAACTGTTGGTATGTCTCAAACAAATTGCCAGGATGAACCAGTAAAAGAACAAAAAAATTGTAACATAACGGTGAAAAATAAAACAGTTGAGCTTAGTGACATTACTGCATGTGCATACAGTCATGACGAATCGGTACCAGTACGAAAAAATCGTTCCACGAGGGGGGGAAATAGCAAGGTGCTCAAGACAAATGACATAACTACATGTGCAAACAGACAAGATGAACCAGTACAAACAAATCATTCAACAACAGTGAAAAATAACAAAACATTTGTGACTAATGACACTACTGCAAGTGCAAACAGTCAAGACGAACCGATGCCAGTACAAACAAATTGTCCCACAAAGGTGAAAAATAACAAAACGTCCAAGACTGATGACATTTCTCCAAGTGAAAACAGTCAAGACAAACTGGTGCCTGTACGAAAAAATTGTTCCACAACGGTGAAAAATAGCAAAACGTCTGAGACTAATGACTCTGCTGCAAGTGCAAACAGTCAAGACAAATCAGTACCAATACGAAAAAATCGTTCCAAGAGGGTGAAAAATAGAAAGGTGCTCAAAACAAATGATATAACTGCATGTGTAAACAGTCAAGATGAACCAATACCAGTGCAAAAAAATCATTCCACAGCGGAGAAAAATAATAAAACACTTGTGACTAATGAGATTGCTACATGTGCAAACAGTCAAGACGAACCGGGGCCAGTACAAAAAAATTGTTCCACAACAGTGAAAAATAGCAAAACAAGTGAGACTAATGACTTTGCTGCAAGTGCAAATAGTCGAGATAAATCGGTACCAGTACGAAAAAATCGTTCCAAGAGGGTGAAAAATAGAAAGGCTCTCAAGACAAATGACATAACTACATGTGTAAATAGTCAAGATGAACCAATACCAGTGCAAAAAAATCATTCCACAACAGTGAAAAATAACAAAACACTTGTGACTAATGAGATTGCTACATGTGCAAACAGTCAAGACGAACCGGTGCCAGTACAAAAAAATTGTTCCACAACAGTGAAAAATAGCAAAACAAGTGAGACTAATGACTTTGCTGCAAGTGCAAATAGTCGAGATAAATCGGTACCAGTACGAAAAAATCGTTCCAAGAGGGTGAAAAATAGAAAGGCTCTCAAGACAAATGACACAACTACATGTGTAAATAGTCAAGATGAACCAATACCAGTGCAAAAAAATCATTCCACAGCGGAGAAAAATAATAAAACACTTGTGACTAATGAGATTGCTACATGTGCAAACAGTCAAGACGAACCGAAGCCAGTATGTAAAAATTGTTCCACAACAGTGAAAAATAACTTATTAGAAATAAATGATATTGACAAAAAGCCAGAAAATTGCCAAAAAACAAAAAAATCATGGGCAACATTTCTAGAGTCTCACCAGTCAGGTGTGAGACAGTCTTCAAGGGCGAGTTCTATTGCCCGAAAATCTCTTGGAAGTTATTCCACGGAAAAACGTTGTGCAATAATTGACACCAAAAATGACAACCCTGAATTAGACATTTCAAATAATGACTCAACTCTAAACCAGAACACTAGTCAGAAAAGTAACAAGCGGTACATGAAGGAAGTCGCATCAGAAACAGCCGCACTACAACCCTCAGTTTGCGGTAACACTACATTTGAACCACCTTGTAAAAAAATACTTTTGGAGAAAACTGTTCTTCATAAAACCGATAAAGCTGACCAACCAAGCAGTGTTGTCTTGCCGATTACAGATGGTGATGAAAAATCCCTTAATATTGGGGACGAGGCTTGTCAACCCACAAGTAAATTTGAGCTTCCATTGACTCGGCAAAGAAAGGAATTCAACCAGAACAAAGCTCAGTTAGCAAATAACATAACAATAGGAGTTGATGAAGGAATGAAACATCCTAAAAAAGGTACAAAAAGAAAAAAAAGGGTCAGAAAAAATCGATTTGCCCCGTCAAAGGCCAGAAAAAAAAATCGAAAGAAAGTTAGTCATACTAAAACAGAAAAAAGTCTCCCAAGTTTTCCAGAACGAAATAGCGCACCTAATAAATCCCAGGTGAAGGCTTGTCGGCCAGATGTACGCAAACGCTCTAGAGTATCTGTTAATTCTAATAGTAAACGTTCCAAGACGTGCATTCTTTCTCATAAAGTCGAGGCAGTTGAGTGCGAAGAGGAAGATTTAGATATCAAAAGAGCACACCATAATGGTGTGCCCTGTCCTAATGAAAAACAACCAGAATCAGATGGTAACAATGCACACAAAAAATCAGTTCTGGTTAAAAATAGAAAGTCTGATGATGAGAGCACTTCATCTGAATTGTGTTCACAGGCAAGGTATACTGACACTGCCAAGAAACAAATTAGTAATGCAACATCAAACAATGTTACGCCCACTAGTAAAGACAATTTGTCAATTGCGTTTGGTGGAGATGCGAATAAGTGCAAAGTACCTGGTATTGCAACGTACATCAAACGTGGTAAGACCAGACAGTACAAGTGGAAGAGCATTACACATATCGAGGAGGACGAATTGGAGGGTACCAACAGTAGCAGAGACACGTCGCCGGAGAATCCAGCTAAACCCACTAGGAGATGCCGGAACCAATCACATTAGTTGTGAATCAGAAGGGATGTCGGGTGTTTACACACGCAGTTCCACTATATTTATACACTCAGGAAAATATTAATCATGTGTAAGTTTTGATATTTATCACCAGCGTCTCGAATTTCATAATATTCTACTTGTACAGTTGATACCATGCTGGTTTCGAAGCATTTTGTATCGAAACTTGGATGGTGCATGTTTATTGGGGGGGGGGGCAATATGTTGTATTGCAAGGGTATGGGTTTTCAGGTACCACATGAATACTGGGCATCTGGAAAATGCTTAACCCTTCGAGCACCATAATTTTTTTGCAACATTTTGTCTTTTGATATGTTCTTCTATATTTTTTTTGGCAATTTTGGACGAAATTGGACTTAATTTCCTACTGGCTACAGACCTTGATTCACATTTTGTGGGTTTGAAATTGTCAATGTTGACGAACGTTTACTTTGGTGCTCAAAGTGTTAACATGTGTCTTGATTTCTGTTTTGTATTGTGTTCTTTTGAATCATGTGATAATTTTGTTGAAAATCTTTACATTTATTGAGTAATGAAACACACCTAAAATTGTAAGCAGGAATAAAGTCTTCCCAGTCTATTCAAGCAGATGTAGAGAATCTGGTGTTACTGTAGAATACTTTTATTTTCACTGGAATAAATTTTCGCTGAAAAGACTTTTTGGGTGTCTTGTATGGAATGTATTTTCACAGATTTTTGACGAGTTGAATGTAAAATATAGGAAAAATGGGATATTCGCTGGATTTTAATTTCACTGATCATTCCTTCAGTGAAAATTAAATCCAAGCGAAAATAAAGTATTTTACAGTATACTGTTATGATTATACGCCATTTTCTCAATATGCGTTTTGAAATTGTATCGTGAAAACCCCTTCCTTTTCGAAACAAACTACAGACAGAGATAAGGATTCCAAGTAGTGCGTGCACAAGGGGAATAGTAATCTCATTTGAAAGTTACTTTGTTTAGTAATGTTCATCACTTTATCTTTGCCAAGTTTTATATCCAGATATTAATGTAAGATAAGGATGAATATATGTAGCGTGTCATCTTAAAGATAGGAAGGGGGGAGCTAGTAAAAAAAAACGGGACTATAGAGTGGGGAGGTCATGGTATGCCAGTTTTCTCGAGCACCTTCCAAGTTTTTAATATGTTGATGACGTTATCTTTATATCAAGTATTACTTTTGGTCTTTCTAATTTAAGTATATGTTTTGTTAAAATAAGAAGTTTTTTTTACTGTTCACTGACTATCTATGTAAGAGAAGACTACATAGTTGATAAAGAATTGTATTAAGCATTTTTTTTGAATTGAATGTACAGATTTGATAGAACATGATCACGGATTAGTCCATTTCTGTAAAAGATTCAGTTGTACCTCCATACATTAATTTAATTTATAAAATTGCACTTATACTTATGGGTGGTACCTGCTAGCACATTGTGTGCATAAAAGCAGGGCTTGAACTTCGCATTTAAGGAGGCACCAATTTTTTTTTATGGGTGGTACAACCCACAGTTTGATGACATTTATTGGGTAATACTCCGAACCATTGTGCCAGTATTTTGTGTTCAAGTTAACTGACAATATTTATATATTTTCGTCATATTTTATTAAGACTTTGAGTATACATTGTGCAATATTGTTTTCATTAAACTCTGAGCACATCACATTCCAAGAACACTGCCAGGGATTGTGCTCATAGTTGTAATCACATCCTAACTTTTCACTTTAATATCTTTGGGACTGATAGTTATTTGTTAAACCAGTCTGTCATGTAATATATTCATAGTACTCTATCACTTTTAACAATTATGTATTAAAAACACCAAAAGTTGAAATTGAGCTGAACTTTTTGTCAACGATGGATATATTCAGTCACCCAAGGTTCAAATGCATCGTTTTTATACCGTAAAACTTTGGTATGCATTAATCGATATCTGGTTGTTGACTTTTTTCCCCCATGAGTGAAGAATCTATTGTAGTCAAAGTATATTTCAGATTTAAGAAATGTGTACTCTAAGTTTTAGTTATTAGGCTATGCCGACCTTGTTACAATGCATTGCCAGTGTTAACATTGAATTTAATGTACTACAGTGTTATAGTTTCCAGCATAATAGCATTAAAGTTCTATTTTATTACTGCAAATTTAACATCACTAGCCATCGTCCGAATCACACGGTTTTACTAATGCCAGCCATTCATAACCCACGAGCCAGTGTGTGATAGTGTTAGGGAAAAGCTGCAGTTAAATTGGGTCTTTTGATTGGGCGTGCTAAGGAGCTGGCACCACTTATCTGTTGCCATATCATAAATGTGAAGGTCTGGGGGTGATCAGAGAACAATGGTGGCATGACACTGATTTACCGGGATTCACAGACATTTCCAAAATGTCTTATCCCAACGTTGATAACATAATTTTGGGACAAGTGAATGAAAATGTAATGTCTAAATATTTGTGCAGTGTTTTTTGAAACAGATAACATACAGTAACTTGTCTGATCCAGTCTTCGTTGCACTAAGCTCGTTCGAAGAAAATGATAGCAACTTGTTGATTTCTATATTTCACCATGTAATGTGCATTTAAGAAGTGAATCGTGAAATCTGCCAAGGATAAATGGTCACAATTAAATTTTGGCTTCTGTGTTTGCAAAGTATATACAGGTCAACTGCAAGTCTGGTTTGAAAAACCGATACTAAATCTACCCTAGTAGATGATTAGGGGTTGAACATTCAAAATCAATTGTTGGGCTGGAAGAGCATGACGTGCATTTTTTTTCTCCCTTGCAATACCTAGTTTACAATAATAATGAATATTCAGTTCAGAGTAAACCAAGACACATGTTTCTGCATTGATTTGATTGGTAAATTGAAATCTCGGTGTCATGTCATTTCCAAATGAAATATATCGTAGCCATTTTGAGATGTTAACTCTTAGACACAATTCACAAAATTAAACCCATTGGATTTGTTTATAAATTTTGACAAGACCTGTAACTAATAGAAAAAGATATCTATTTGTTCTAAAATTATATCAAAATCTTAAAAAAATATAGGAAAAATGTTGCACCAACATTTTGGTAAAAAAAAAGTTGTGTTCCTTTGTATTATATGCAGAACACTTACCACCATAAGAAATGATAAAATCAGTTGGCATGGCAACAAATCTAATCACTAAATCAAATTTTCAATGTAATCACTCAAGGCCATGTGCAGGTAATTTTAGAGGTTCTTTAAAATTTAACTTCAGTATCTCGTTAAACCAAAGACACTTGCCGGTAGTCCAGAAAATATTTTTCTAGTATTTTTGGTTAATCGTACAAACTTCAGGGGGTCAGTGAGTTTGCTACTGATCATACATACATACGATCTGTAGCCACGTCTTCACTAAATACGTTCATTGATAAGTAAAACCTGCAACTCAATTGCATTGGAAATGTGGTGCTACATTAAAAATCTGAACTAAAAATACATCTTGTATATTTAAAAAATAATTGGCTTTATTGGAAGGTCCCTATCACTGCAGATTATTCAGTACAAAACTATTTGTTTTGAAACTCACTCCAGACCAATGCAGATATTCTTAGTTTCTTTGTAATAACAGTATAAAAATAATGCAATTTTGATTTTTTTAATTTGTTGGTTGCAAGTGATTAGAAGGAAAAAAGTAAAATATTTTGGCAATACATGTTTATTGTAAAACCATACCCATCACATACTACTTACTACCTAGGCTAGTCTCAAATTAAAATATACTTTTCATTCTATTCAGTATGGCCAACATGCAAGAGTGAATGTAGTTGTACAGCTCGTTTCCATAGGCTGAAGATGATCATGTGTGGATGATAACATAATTCAGGACACGTAGTTTGTTGCAACAGAATACAATTTCTTAGCACACATGTTTATTCAATCTCTTCGTACATCTCTCTTTCCTTAATGGGTCTTCACTAATGACTAAAATAATGCAGTAATGCTACACTACACAGATTCTTAGAAGCAATGCGATGTTGCATTGATTCCCCGAACTGTTCAGCAATGTAATAAACACTGCATGGCACAGGTTTTCAGAATAATGCAGCTCAGAATGTGACGTGTATCGTTTCTCAGAATAATGCTACCCTGCACTAATTATAAAAACAAACTACTTATTCACTGTCATGTAAATGAAACCTGACAGCAAGTGATCACAAATTTGCTTTTCGCCATGGTTTAAGTCCCCTGGCAAACGAGCCTTCAAGTTTAAATACTACAACATCAGTGTTCTGTGAAGCAGTCAAGTAACCTTTACATCAAGATGGAGTTGATGACAAAAATCAATCACGTTTGTGCTACAATTGTTTTCACTAATAGACTTTTTCAACCAAGACCCAATTCCTGGAACTTTGCTAGATCTCTTGACAAGCATGGAATTTATAGGTTACAGGGTATGATCACTATCTCTCGTGCAGCTTCATTTAAATTAATCAGCATCTCATCGCATATAGAAAGGTACATGACAATAACATGAGATAATTTTACAAAATATATACAAAATCCTTTATCCTAATCATTTACAATTATGCAAGCGAATAGCACCTCGTCCAAGGAATGTATTCCACGGGTAAACTTGACTGCACATTTCAAGTAACCAGCGTTTTACTTTAAATTGGGCAAAACTGGTAAACTATTAAATAAATAGACATGAAACCATTCCACGGAGATGAATATGACTTGGTGTTCTGTTCTCGATTGTTCTGTCACCAATTGTGCAACTTGGCCGTCATGGAAACATCAGTTCTCCCATCAAAGGACTCATCATGTTGGGATACCAGCCGCAATCAGCGCATGTTTCTCATTGTCATTTAAATTAGGTATGAAGACAACTCTATAGCAGTCCTGCTGTGAAAGCCGCTGAAAATACTCCGTTAAATAAGCCTACCAAAAGAATTAAAAGAATAATCTGTGTTAGCATCCATATGCAAGCCAAGCCAGATAAGCAAATAAGCCAACATACATGTATGACTACGTGTTGACCTAATGTTGGTGGCAATATGAACCTGTTTGTGGCGCTATGAACCTGTTGGTGGCGGTATGAACCTGTTGGTGACGGTATGAACCTGTTGCTGGCGCTATGAACCCGTTTGTGGCGCTATGAACCCGTTTGTGGCGCTATGAACCCGTTTATGGCGCTATGAACCCGTTGGTGGCGCTATGAACCCGTTTGTGGCGCTATGAACCCGTTTGTGGCGCTATGAACCTGTTTGTGGCGCTATGAACCTGTTTGTGGCGCTATGAACCTGTTGGTGGCGCTATGAACCTGTTGGTGGCGCTATGAACCTGTTGGTGGCGCTATGAACCTGTTGGTGGCGGTATGAACCTGTTGGTGGCACTATGAACCTATTGGTGGCGCTATGAACCTATTGGTGGCGCTATGAACCTATTGGTGGCGCTATGAACCTGTTGGTGGCACTATGAACCTGTTGGCACTATGAACCTGTTGGTGGTGTTATAAACCTGTTGGTGGTGTTATAAACCTGTTGGTGGTGTTATGAACCTGTTGGTGGCACTATGAACCTGTTGGTGGTGTTATGAACCTGTTGGTGGCACTATGAACCTGTTGGTGGTGTTATGAACCTGTTGGTGGTGTTATGAACCTGTTGGTGGCACTATGAACCTGTTGGTGGCACTATGAACCTGTTGGTGGCACTATGAACCTGTTGGTGGCACTATGAACCTGTTGGTGGCACTATGAACCTGTTGTTACTTCCCATTACCTGCATATCCATTCGATAAATCGGGTCGTTGAGAGCATCAGGGTCATCTTCCTCATCATCGTCACATTCAAAATCATAACCTGGATAGAAACACGAGAGATGTACACTTATACTGAGTCAAGATTGAATCAAAAGATAACCGGCTCCATTGGTCAATTATTTATTTTCATTTGTAGATTTCATGACAAGCGAGCGTAATTCAACTGATTTGTTTGCCTACACCAATCTGGCCTATACTGGTTAATATATAGTGCACAGCGTTGCGGACCACAGAATAGCTAGGCCATGTATGGAATAGAGCAGATAAGCTGGTTACCTGGAAAATCTGTGGCTGGAGCAAACATTCCCAACATACTTTCTAACGTTTGGCCTTCAGTCTCATCATCTCCATCGTCTTCTTCACAGTCATCCCATCCTTCATCCTGTTAACAGAGTTAACAATGTTGAAATTATTCTATTGACTCTAAAATCAATTAACACAGTTCCATGTATGTTGCCATGCAGAAAAATTACCAGTAGTCTACACTGTCCTTTGTACATTGCCATTAGATCCAAAAAAAATCTTCAAAACAATTAGATTTTTATTGTATAACATTGAAGTGCAAGCAAATATTGCAAACATTGAAGCAGATTATCATACTACTATTTGAATTTCATTATGCAATGTTTTACTTGTGTTGTTTTGTCCAATATCCTTGCAAGTGAATTTCTTTTTTTCTTTTTTTTGCCAATTTTAAATTTTCATACTCATATTGCATACATTGAAGCAGATGATCACAACAGCGGCGAACAATGGCAATGAATGCGGTTGGAAAACACACAACTCCCTAAGTCCCACCATTGCCACCAACATCAAGTGATTTTTGCACAAATTTGGCAGGTGTGAGCGGATCTGATGAACAAGGAATTTTTTTTTTAGTCTGGCCTAACAACACACAACATGGTAAAGCATCATAACGAATGGATATGACCGACAAATTTTTGATTTTCCCTAGACAGACAGTTCAAGGGTACCGCCAACTACTGCATGTTATCAATTGTCACCACAAAAGAAAGAGGCTCAATGCCATGAGGAAGTCGCTTCTATTTAAGTTAAAACACATTCATCTTTAAAGTTGCATTCATTTCTGTGAGGCATAATTCCCTGACAATTACATGTATATGCACCCCAACATTTTGAGGTTGTGGATGGGTAACTGGAAATCGACAACATGAATTGAGGCTTTGTCCAAACTTGAAGGTTGTATCTTTGCCTTGTACTCTCAAAATGAAATGGTGTTGAAAGGTCAGGACAGGATCTTTACTTTTACGAATCGGCAAACCATCATTTTAACACATGGTATGTTTTTAGCTTCGTTTTTGAAGTGATATTTCACATACATTCATACAATGACTACAACTTTAAAGCTACAGCAACACTGTCCAGAGTGCAGACTCACTTCATCCAAGTCTTCACCACCTGCTGACGCCTGTCTTGACATATTAGTTTCTACGGCATTGGACAACTCATTCACCAATAGTTTAAACATCTTTACATGTATTTGTATTGTAGTCCACTGATCTGGAGCTGAAAGTACAAAGTATACATCTCATTAATTAAAATGAAATCATTATATCTGCCTTGGAATTATTTTATGACACCCCACCTTACATTTTATGGCATACTACTATTTGAATGATTTTTATTACACAATGTTACACTTTGTTTCATATTCACATTTTTTTTTTCCTTTTTACTCTTTGAATGCCAAATTCTACATTTGTCACCCATTCACAAAATAAATTTGCATAATTTTGTTCATACATTCACAAAGATTTTGATCATCAAGATATGTATCCACGGAAGAATGATGTCCCTTTTGGTTCAAAATAAAAAAAAATAACAGAAAACAAGTCATTGCCAATGAGAAAGTCTCAGGTTGTATCATAGACATGAGCTACATGTACAGTACTCATTTCGCCCAGCCTCCCGCCCGCTTCCGGATTTCGATCGCTTTTTTTTCGCTCGCTTTGTTTAATTCGACCGCGCAATTTCCGCTTTTTTTCGACCGCGCAAATCCGGAAGTATCCGCTCGCGCAATCGCTCGCTCGCTCGCTCGCCTGGCAGAGCAACCGCCCGCATTTACAGTTCATTACCTACTGTTTCATGTACAAGTGTGTCAATTTTGTTTTTATGATGTTAAAATAAGAATAAATACAATCAAAAATTTATAGAACGACCGTTGAAAAAAATACGGTGGATCACACGGCCATATAAAATTGGTAATAATACATACGCGTAGCAATAATGTCCACCATAAACAAGATCGAACCAAACATGTGAAATCAAATACGAGACTGA